ATTGCTGAGAAACACAATCACTACTTAGCAGTCAGATGTCCGTATGCACAAAGGCACAGATCACTAAACAAGGCCATATCTGCAGATTCAACTTTTTTTTTTTTTTTTTTTTTTTTAGTTAAAGTAAATATGTGCTTTAAATAATTTCGGGTAACTTGCCGACAGCGGAACATTATACTAAGTCATAAATTCTCCATACAGCAGTACAGAGCCATGAGCGTAGGCTGAAGGAGAATCCGCCCATCCTACAGAAGTGACGTCATGATACATCACATGACCGGCACCATCGACTATCATTCCTCAACTGAAACCAGCAGCTTTCGTTTATATAAAAGACGTAAACATTTACTGTTTATCTCGGTCATTGCTATAAAAGCTCCGCATCTATTACTCGACTCAACATTTATAAAATGATGATGCCCAGTAACCCGTCAGTCAGTCAGGTTAAACCAAGGCCTTATAAACATAATACTGTAACTTACTACATACTGTGCATAATTAAAATAGAGCCGTGCTCTAGACATTTGCGTAGGATCATATAAAACAGATCAGAAAATAGTAACGTTAGATACATTGAGTGTGTAAGGTTAGCTGATAGCATCACAGTTAGCATGTACATTTAAATGCTAACGTTAGTAGTCAATAGTAACAATTTAATGATCACAGGACTTCAATTGTTTACTTAATATTAGGTCTGAGAAAAATGAAGAATATATAGTGACACAAAAACTGATCTTCACCTGCTGAAGGGAATTTGAATGCTGGCTTAAGCTAACTAACATTAGCTGTGCTAGTTATAAGGCGACTTATCAGCGAGTTACCACAGCAATTCGGCTTTGCATCTTTAAACGACGATAAATGTCAATAAAAACACGTAACTGTATGTGGAAATGTCGCTAAAGAAAACGGACAGCTAGCAGCCAACACACACATTCGACTCACCTTCCAGAGTTTCACACTGAACGAGATTCAAATAATCCGCCTGAGATAAAATACCAGCCTTAAAACCTCTCACCAGCCCCTCTAGATAACCATTGTCCACATTAAAATATAATTCAGAGAAAGGCATTGTGAGAAAATAAGACTACCGGTGTAGTAGCTTAAGAGAGAGATGGACGTAGCCTTAATGCAGTCTTGAGTGATAGTGCTGTCTGATTGGTAAAGAGTCGGATCTTTTCAGTTTTCAGTGAATTGATGGAACAGGTTCTCAAAACTGGTCTGAACAGTTCAATGAGCCAGAATAGCCCAAAAGGAATAGCCTAACGTTACTGGATTGTTTACAGCTTGATTGTATGGCAGTTTAATCAACACACATACGAAGCACTTTGTTTTTGTTTTCACCCGAAAGATGTATGAATTTCAATTTTGTTGTTTATAAATTTCAAAATTACTTTATTCTGAGCTGAACCTTAGCTGCTAAACTGGTACACTACAACACAAAAATACATAACAATAAACAGTTATTAATTAAATTTCATTTGGAAAAATAGCAATAAACAAAATGTATAATTACTGGAAAGTTTTAGACTAAAAGAACAGAAGAGAAGCGTTTTGAAGCCAGAATCTTTCAAACTGTTCAAACTCTTCGAAAGAACCGATTCGCGGAAATGAGTCGGACTTCCCATAGCTGAATGAGGGAAGTTGCGGATACCGGGATACACACACACACACATGTGACCGAGCATCTGACCATCATCAAACCTTAAACACCGATCTCAGACCAGCCCTGCACAATCACCTGAACAGAAGAATCAACCGAAGAGCTTTGTCTGGGCTGAGTAGGACCTCAAACTAAAGATTCCACATTTATTGTTTGTTTGTTTGTTTGTTTTGTTTTTGTAATGAATGATTAAATGTGAAATGTTTCCGTTGTCCTTCTGCAAAAAATTTTTATTTTTTTTCTGAAATATATTTATTATATTTCCAGGATATAGCCTACCGTCCTTACAAACCAACGAATGTGTTTTTTCTTCATTAATTAAAGGCCACTGGCTTTTGAAAGGCAGTGTGTGGTGCACTCTGACCAGCTTCTGAAGGAGAGGTACCATGAATATTATACATGATGTAACCAACCTATAAGATAAATGGAGAAGCTTTATCAGATGATGCTCACCAGAAGATTATTCATTAATGTGCATTTTTACATGAAGAATTAATAGGTTTCTGTGAACTCATCACTTCCTTCTGATAAATTCTTTTTGCTGCAAAATTAAATGCTTATAAAGTGCCTTTCAGCGGAAATGCTCAGTCCATTATTTCTTCAAATATGCCGTTTATATGTTCCAAAGAGAAGGATATGAACTGAAATCATCTTAATTCAATAGTTAGCTAAAAGCATAGTTTAAAATAGCACCAAATATTTGTTTATGAGAAATTGACAGGTGACAGCTAAGCATTACATACAAGCAATATTTATTTGTTTGTTTATTATAAAAAAGAGAGATTCACCATGCAGCTGTGTCTACTTACTATCCTTTATAGACCAGTCTTTAAATATATAAACTAATGCTGACTTGACCTGTTTGTTTCATACAAAATTCTCTAAATAACGTTTCTGTTAATCACACATTCTAGTTGCCACTTATAAACAATTCAGACCAATCTGACCTTACAGAGAGAAGTATTGAAGTTCTTAACCATAAACAATTTATTTCCTCACAAATGAATGCTGTATTGCGTCATCAGTGCTAAAACAGCAGGCTGGAGTCATCAGCTGAGTGTAGCTGTATTAGCTTCATAATTAAGTGTTTACTGGTACTGAGCATTAACTAGGCGTATAAAGTAGTATAAATGCAGTACCTAGTGCAAGTATTCAGGCCTTTAACCGATTTTGTTACCAAATATGTTTTTCAACAATTCATGTCTAAATAATTTTTTTATTTTGTTATTTATTTTATTTATTTATTTTTAATTTTTTTTTGAAATTGCTAAACAATGCAGAAGCAATTGCAATGTTATTTTTTATAATGAGCAAAATCACAAAATCAAGCTAAATAATAATATAATAAAAAAATAAATGAATATGGACTGAATATCTATATAAATATTGTATAAATATAAAAATTGACTGTAAAAACTGTAAGTATGCCTTGTTGCAATAAATCATAACCCAAACTAAACATCATTCAACTAATATTTGTTATGAGTATTGGTTCAAAACGCAGCACCATGTTTCATACCTGAGCTATACTAAGTAGCAATGCATTTTTCATACTTTCATATAATTTTATACATTTAACATAAGTTGACAATGTCAAAATCTGAAATAGCTTACACCGTCCTCCAGGAAATTCTATTAATCTTTTCCTGTGTTGAGTGCATGGGCTTATGTGTGTGTCAGTGTTTGTGTGGGAGTTAAGTGGTTGTGCCAGGCACAAGAGACCACACCTCCATCCACTGATCAGGACCATGTGTCCCTCACCTCCCACCTCAAGGAGTCTTATAAATCACAGAGTCCAGTGCAGACCCTCAGCCTGGGACACAGAACCCTGCAGGTAAGTCAAAAATGTTTTACTTATACATGTGCATGTGTAAACATACACAAATCCACACACATACTGCATGGCAAATGCAAACCAGTGCAAATACCAAGTACACATCTGTCTACATGCTCACAAACATTAACACGATTTCAAACATTTAAGGAACGATTAACTTCAATCTGAGTGCTTCTTGACTGCACTCTCTCTTTTTAGTGAATACAACCGGAAAACTAAAAGTGTGGCTGAAGTTTATCTTGTTTTTGAGTTTGAGTGATTATGATGCTGAGCATAGCCACCTTCAGTTGTTTTTTGATGAATGTGATGGTGATGGCATCACATCCAAACCTGAGACATAGTGAAAACTCCTTTGCTCTACCTGACACAGGTAAGGTTTCTATAGACTGATGTTATTTTCCAAAAATGTGGCGTGTGTCTTTTTCTGTTGATAATTTCAGAGATAGTGTTTTTTTTTTTCTTTCTTTCTTTCTTTTTTTTTCTTTCTAAAATGTGAAAATGGTAATAATAAAGAATGACTAGTCCAAACTCTTAATTTAAATACATAATCATTATTATTATTTGAATAATAAAATGTTTGTTTATTTATTTAACAACTTCAAGTTAATTTCATATTTCATCTAATCGTTTCAAAAGTCATTTCAAATATTTTGATCATTGTTCATTATGGTAGTACACAACATTTTTTGTAAAAAATTGTCAGTACTTCATTGTGTAAATCCCATGTTATGTTAAGTATTAAATTAATACATTTCAAATTCATATCATGGACTGCTTGTATTTTTTTGTGTGTTTGGTACATTTGTGTTTTGTACATCATAGGCTTACTACTTGGAGTGGAGCACCTTGAAATAAACTCAGCAGAAGAAAAACTGCTAGAAGACCTTGAATCCTATGATGAGGTGAGTAATTGACATTTAGCATATGCGTTTAATATCAAGTGACTTTACGTGTACCACCAATGGTACGTGCCTCCAGGTCATATGGCTCGTGTGATTGTGATCAAATAATTAGAAAAATTGTATTTTATTTAAATTGTTGTTTTTATTTTTTAGTGTTTTATTTCTAAGATCAGTTTACAATTTTAACAGGCTAGGTTTTTTTTTTTTTTTTTTGCATTTAAGTATTAAACTCTAAGGCATAGCCCACATTTCTATGTCAGCAATGTGATACACAAATAATTAAGGTGATGACTTGGATCTCGATTTAATTGGACATGGTAACTGGTCTGAAAATTTGAGCACCACTCCGCCAAGCTGGAAAATGTTCTTCTATGATAGTGAAGTATTTTTGTTGCCATAACTACAGGATCTGGGTAAAGCTGTACGGCTGCAGAGAAGAGGCACTCGCTCCCCCAGCCGCTGCATCCCTCATCAGCAGTCCTGCTTGGGTCATCACATGCCCTGCTGCAACCCCTGCGATACGTGTTACTGCCGTTTCTTTAAGGCCTTCTGTTAACACCTGCAAACACGAATATGCATAGAGCCAAATTCTACTCTGAAATGTCTAATTGTGGCTTTTACATTTACAGTTTATACAGCTCCAGAATGTATATGTGGATAGTGTAAATGTACAGCCTCACACTATCCACAGAAAAGTTTGTTACAATAGACCAAATATATAATTTTTTAATATTAAAGCTACACAAAGCCTAAAGAGTGCACCTTGGCTCTTAACATTTCAGATTTGTATTGCTGCAGTTTTATGGTGTAATTTTATTGCAATTTTAAGGTCAAAATCTACTCAAATATTGTCTCAAATATTTTGTATATGTGCATTCAATAAACTGATTATTGCAGATCTGTAGAGTATTAACTTAAAAAAGCTATGAATGGTATCAAACCACCTGACATCAAAACTGAACTGTGTACAACTGCACACACTGAGAGCTAGAAGAAAAACAGATTCATCTCTGCTTTACAAAAGGTTACCAAAAAACATGGTATATACTGTATTGAATACTTCTCAAACAGAAAGCTGCATCCTAGTGAGCGAGGAAAGGAATGGATAATGTATGAAAATGCAACAAGCGTCCTGCATGCATTGCAAAACTTTCAATATTTTGAAAAAGCATCCCAGGATACACCTCATAAAATCAGTTTAGAAAATAACCAGAGCATGTTTATGGCAAATAGTGGCTATTTTGAAGAAGCTCAAATATAATGCAGTTTTGATCTTTTTAACTTTTGTAATCACTACATATATTAATTCCAGTAATTCCAATTGTGTTTTGATGACTTCATGATATTCTAAAATGGGGAAAATAATACTAGTAAAGTATACTGGTAGTGGATAAATGTGCATTTATAGACTTCTATAAATTGCATGTATAGAAATGTTGCACTCTATTTTTCAATATATCCAATTGAACCAAAGGTCATGTCACACATCTTTATTGATGAAACTAAAGACAGTATTAATGGCTGCTTTAGTTTGCAGCAATGGTCTGGTCAACCCAGGCACGGAGTTTGGTGACACGGGCATACACGGCTGGGGTGGAAGTGGAGCAGGTGCTGCTTCCCCAGGACATGATACCAACCAGAGTCCAGACTCCATTCTTCTCACAGACCAGAGGACCGCCAGAATCACCCTGAAACACACATAGGAGAGTTGTAATCAAAACATTTACCTATACATGTAAGAAGACATTTTAAATAATATTAAATAATGATCATAAATTTATTTAGGACAGCTCACCATGCAAGAGGAGACACCAGATGCTCCAGCACAGATCATCAGATCAGTGATCTTGGTTCCCCAGAAACGCTTGCAGTCATCATTGGTCAGCAGAGGCAGAGCAGCCTGCTGGAGCAGGGCAGGGGTATCAGGAGCTGAAAGGGTAGATTGGCAGAATTTTAAAAGCTTTCAACAGAAAATAGATCAGGACAGAGAATATGAACAAATGCTAAAATATACATTCAAGTTTTGACAATACATGCAAACTGATAAAAATGCTGAAATGAAAGAAGATTCTGAAACTCACCATTATATCTGGTCAGGCCCCATCCAGAGGTCACACACATCATGCCTCCAGGGAAGTTGTCGCTGGTTTCAGCGAGACACACAGGAGACACGTGAGTGTTGAGCTAAGCTGGAGTGGAAAGCTTGATCAGGAGGATGTCGTTGTTGATGGTGAAGCTGTTGTAGTTAGGGTGCTTGATGGACTGTGGGGAAAGGTTACAGACATATCAGCATTCAGATTTTCAAGTAGATTTTCAGATTTTCATCTGTGGGAATTCTCTCTTAAGTTTTCTGTTAAAAGACTGTCTCCAGTGATTCAGGTATGATACACTAGTGTAGCAGCGCTTTTCAACAGCGGGGAATCGGCTACTGAATCTTCAGCGAAAAGAAATCATATTATAGGTTGTGAGTGTGAATGTGAAGCAATACAACACCGTGTTCCACGATAGAATGGCTATAAATGATAGAATGACTTTCACTAGAAGGTTCTTTTAATGAATAGTTCAAAAAGGTTCCAGTTTGATAAAGTCTTTACTGAACTATATCGATCAGATCTGTTAGTGAATCAACACCTGGCTTACTTACTTACACAACTGCAAGTTATCATTATTAGGGGCCAAGCACTGAAGGTGCTATTGGTATTGTTAGAAGTCTATGGCAGCCCTATGAACTGTAGATAGGAAAATCATGAAATTCGCTACACTGATTGAGGTAGTCCTGAATAGTAATTTATAATATCTTCACAGATGTCGAATGAATGAAGAATGTTTTGTGTGAGCATCATCACTGACTGATTGTCCATATGACGTGTTGTTAAAGATACCATTTTATGTATAGTTTTTATTAATCAACGAAACGATTTTGCAATATATTTATGTAGTGAATTTGGATGGAGGCTCCCCCTGCTAAAACAGAATTGTGTAGGAAATTATGCTCAGTATAATAGATATTGAGAGTCTACACACCTTTCCAACACTAATGGTCTGAATGGCCTCAGCATTGGATGAGCGATCATGCTCACCCAGGATAACACGGTGAGAGGTTCTGTAAAAAATGAAATAATTAAAATTTTGTAACCCAAAAACTTTGGCAACAGGACATGCAAGTTTAAAAAAGCAAACGTAATCCCAATAGATTCCTACAGGCTAAACATTGTAAAGTTGTAAATTTAGTCTTGTCTTACCTGACATCGCAGTGAGCAGCAGTCACAACCCACAACTCATTGATCAGAGAGCCACCGCAGAAGTGGAAGCCAGTGGAGTCCTGGAATAAATTTTAAATGATGTAATAATTTAATAAACCTTTTGAGTTAGCATTTAAACGGTATTGTTATTGACACAGATTTTACCTGCAGAGACACCTGCCAGGGCCAGGAGTGAGGCCGTGCCTCCTCACCATTCACAATCCTGGAGTAGCCAGTGATAACAGGGGGGATGGCAGGAACGCCACAGCCTGACAGACCAAAAAATAGAATCAAAGCAGTTTAACAGATTCATGCGTTCTAAGGGCTATTTAATAAAAGTAATCTAGGCTTAAAGGCTGTTATTAAAGTATCTTATTTTGAAACAAACCAAAACAAAAAATTGTAGGATCGTACCATAGGCTGCACCAAAGAAGGCGTGACAGGAGAGTATCCAAAAGAAGGCCATTGCTGCACTTGAATATTGTCTGCTCCTTTGAGGTCTTTATATATTCTGTCCTCATTCATACACTGGACATCTTATCTCACTACTGTGGGATAGTGTGCACCTTGCAAGAGAGAGTTTTTTTTTCCATCCCTACAAAAGATAACGCCTCCTCCTTCTGGTTGCTTTAAATCAGCTGTAAGTCTTTCATCTGTGAATTACATTTATATTTATGCATTTGAAAGCAACTAAAACGGCATTGAAAGTAATATTTTGATCAGTTCATGCATTCCCTGGGAGTCAAACCCTTAACCCTGACATTACTAGCACCTTACTGTACTTTTGGAGCTACAGAAATCCTACCAATAAAGACTGAATGCTGCAGATTCACAGATATAAAATAGCTCTAATACTGTGAAATAAATTTCTTAGGAAAACTGTTCTCAGAAGACGGATAACTTCCATTTCATATGAATGATTATAGTTGATAATACCTATGTGGTGGAAATGGCCGTTACATATTTCATGTGTGAGTTTTGTTATTTTGTGTAATATCCTCTGTTAATTAGAAGAATGCACAAAACACTTCCTGTAAGGTTAATTAGAGGATTTTATATTTTGCATCTGTCAAATAAGCTTATTGAATGAATTCTGCTCTCTTTAATTTGTGTTGCGTAACACATTTTTCAAAAGTCATCGTGTTTACTGCAATAACCCTGACCCTATTGGTTGTATTTTCATTCACACTGATAGAGGTGTATTCTCTGTTTCAAGGCCTGTGTGTCCACATCTGCACTGATTCCCAGGTTTGGTAAACCTCTTCACGAAGCCTATTCCCTACATGTACATTAGTGCAGCTGTATGTGCTGTAAATATGCATAATCACATTAGTTGCAAACCTTGCATTCTGCAACCAATATACTTTGTACTGGATAGCAAATATTATGACATTTATTTCAAAGAGGAACTGAGCTTGGTAGAATATATATATATTTTTTTTTTATTCATTAGTTATTTCGTATTAATTTTCAAATTTATATTTATTCCTGTGGTGCTCATTTTAATTCAGAGATTTAAATGGAATGGAAATGCAGCAGCAACATTAGGAATTAATTCTAAGAAAGCATGCAATATTGCCAGTATTGCTTTGAAAAGTTGAAAATTGAAATGGAGAGTGGAGAGACTGTGAATACAATTATATTATCCTTTTTTTTTCAATGTTTTAAGATTTATTAGATTAACAGTTGTGTATAAATGGCTTCATTGTGCTTTTATATTCATAATTGCGTAACAAAAATGTAGCACCTATATGATCAAGTGTCAGTTTTGGAGCTGTCCAGAGATATTGTATTTAAAGTGATGAGTGCTTATACTGTGTAATTTCATAACATTTATAAAATATTATGTGCTTTAAAGCAATAACAGTGTATTTATAAAAAGACTTACAAGCCTTATGTTATCATAATTGATATATAGAAAACAAAAAGTTACTTTTTATATATAATTCCATTTTAGATTAAAAATGAATGGCCAGGTCAAAGTTAATATGAATTAATATCATTCGTTTTTTTTTTTTCTTTCTTTTTTATGCCCTTACATGTTTGAGTATACATTACATACACGCACATAAATGATATTTATATATTTTATTTTCCACTATCAATTTTTTTTTCAGTTCATTGATGTTCACAAAGTGCTCCAGACATGCTAGCCACAATTGCCTGCTTTATATCACTATTATTTTATTTTAAAATTTCACAATTATTTTCAAAAATTATTTTATGATTGATTTGTAGTTATTAAAATGATGCAATAAGATTAAATCACTCAAACATATGGAATGTCCATTGTCCACTGTAAATTACTCTGACTTAAGTTAGAAACATTTTTATGACACAAGAACAATCAAGGAGTTTTTGTTTTCTCAAAATAAAACTTTATTGATAAACATCATGACCAAGAACTACTGTATAAACATTATTCTTTAGTTTGCAGCAATGGTCTGGTCAACCCAGGCACGGAGTTTGGTGACACGGGCGTACACGCCAGGTGAACTGGTTGAGCAGGTGCTGCTTCCCCAAGACACTATACCAACCAGAGTCCAGACGCCATTCTTCTCAC